TTTTTAAAAATTCACCATACCAAAACACCCCCCCCCCCCCCCCATTCTTTAAGTAATAATATACATTAAATTAAACTCTAAATATTTTTGTTTAAAGTCTTAATAACATACATAAGTTTGTACATAATTTCAAATTACATTTTGAATATTCTGTAAACAACTGCAGAACATTTTGGGGGTAAGAACTTGGAATTTAGAAATTATATTCACCATTTCTAGCAAAGTTGATCAGTTTTCGTTTTGTTTAAACAATATCTCGATTGATAATAAATATATATCTAAAATATTAAATAAAAAATACACCTAATCTTGATGTATAAAAAAAAATGCGAGCACTAAATGAGAGTGCCACTGCTGAGTTTTAGTGTAATAATGAGTACCTCGTTCACAGAGCGCATTGACTACGCTGGAAGAGTTCTGTCTTGCGTGACCTCCATTAAACAACAGCCCTGTGAACATTTATGTGTTTATTCTCCATATTGATTTCGATATTGAACAACGGGGCCTTTGTGATTTCTTCTGCCTCTGAGTTGATATAGATTTGCCCTGCGACTGTGCGGACTGTGGCTTCTTCTGTTTCGAATGGCTTGCATTGAGTGTTTCGCAAATAGTTCTCTGAGGAATGGAAATAAATAAAAAAAATAAAAAAAGAAGAAGTATGTCAGTGTCAGCAATATTAATTGATATCGAACGTCTGAAACTTTTTCGGTGACTTTATTTATTACGCCCAAGACGTGTTGTTTCATGTCAGTCAATGTAGGGCACAGGGCGTGGCTAGAGTATATAACGCCCGGTGTAAAACTAACAACATGCGACCTTTGGGGGGTCGTCCATTAATTACGTCAACAATTTTTACGCACTTTTTGACCCCCACCCCTTTTGTCAACAATTTTCAAATATTTCTAACCCCCCCTCCCCACTATTTTGTTGACATAATTAATGGACGCCCCCTTTCCAGCAATTTAAAAAATAAAATATAACATAATTATTTGTTGGATATGATTTTAATTGACATAGTTTTCTTAAAGTTTAAAGGCTACATATTTTAAAAAGATTATTCAAAACATTATTCTTATTGTTAACAACAGGTCTAATTTTAGCAATCTCACGAATATGGAATTTTTCTGAGATGTTATTGAAATTATCTTTGATAATTGCAGTTAATAAAGTAACTTCACTGGATTAAATCTTTTGAAATGTTTATATATAACTTTATATACCGGTAAGTATATTTTGATTAATAGCTACACATATGTTGTAACCAGTGTAAATTAGAGGCTGGCCAAACTTTGAAAGATTAAAATAGCCATATGTCCCAGCAATACGTTTTACACTAAATTATATATTTTAAGGATGAGCGGGAATTATTACAGAAATTATTTAGCACCAAAATGTCGAAAATGATAAACAACACTCGTATCAACAGGAAATCCAATAAAAATTTTAAAAATTATAATTTTTAAAAAAATCGTCTTTTACAATAAATGAATCGAGTGATTTCCCCTGAACTAAAATTAATTGATGCATTCAGCATTGGCTATTAATTCGCCCCTACCCAAAAAGAACACAAAAAAAAAGGGGGGGGGGGGTAAGGGGGAGGTCCACCCGGGCAACACTTTTTTTCTTTATATTTTCGGTAAACTGCAATTAACTTCTTTTTTCTTGTTTTTATTTTATTTTTATATCAGTTAATAAAAGAACAAAAAAAAAAAGGGGGGGGGGGGTAAGGGGGAGGTCCACCCGGGCAACACTTTTTTTCTTTATATTTTCGGTAAACTGCAATTAACTTCTTTTTACTTGTTTTTATTTTATTTTTATATCAGTTAAAACGAATTATCCTCCGTCAAAAATGACACACGGCATACGGCATAAAATAATGTGTCGATGCTGCTGAAGTCATCCGCGTCTCCAAGTAAATAATGAAGCATAAATTAAGTGACGACATCTGTTCGTCAATAGGCGAGGCCGAGTTGTTAAAATGTCACAGAAGCCGATGTCTCTATTTCAGTTGTATCGTCTTGTTAAAGGATCGATTGAATTGTGTCAATCAGGCGGTCAATACCACAGACGCGTCATCATGCCGATCAAAGTGATAGATTTGTTTCTGCAAGACAATCATTCAAGGGTGTAGTCACCCAACCTATTTAACAGCTGTATTATTTGTATAGACAAAATTAATGTCATTGTGGAGTAAAGTTCGTCTACGCGTGTGGTCCGTAATGCCAACTTGTGTTGAGACCCGCATATTTCAGGGGCGTAACATTACCTAGTAAACAACCCCATACCCAGTCGTTCCTTAATCAAAAGACCATCCACGAGTGGGGCACCTAGACTGAATCCTTTGAAATTAATTCTTATGTGGGAACAATATATGCATTTATATTATTATTTCTAAACAATCACCCGGCAAAATTACAAATTGATGCACACAACTGGAATATAGGGGAACGTTGAATAACAAGGGAACTCATTTCTTGAAATGCATCCCCCCACTTCATTACTCTGATGGCCTTCGTCTTATTTTCTGCCCCGAATCGAGTATTTGAATATACGTATTTCGCAAAAGATCAATCATTGATCCACCCAAGACAGATCAGAAGGCTGCCCTAGTTTAGACTTTGTATCAAATTTCAGCTCTCTAAGCGTCCCCACCAAGCAGACACACCCGCCAGCCAGTTGAATGGGATTATATGAACAAAGACAAACCAACATCGACCATATGAAGTTTAGAACGAGCGAGCACAGATGAATCAGCGCTTTTTTTTTTTTTAAATTATATTTTTCAGTGACTAGCATTATTACATTGGGAATAACAAAACCACATCAAAGGGGGGTTAATTGGGTAGCGTGCATTTTTTTTCACTCCCTTATTTATCATCGCCTGAGGCACCCGTACAAAACGTATACAATGCAGGAGCTGCGTGGCGTGCCAAGAATTTGAAGAAAGGCTTCGATCCATCTAATCAAAATTTAATAAAGCGATCCCCCCGGTGCCTGGCTTGATTAAGTGAAGAGAGAAAAAAAAATCAATGCACGCTGAGGGTTTACAGTTTGGTTTTAAATTTTTTTTGTAGTTCTCAGCATTTTCTAGTTTACCAACCTAGAAAAACCTGGTGTAATTACCATAATGGGAATCTTATCAAGGTCCGTGTTTTGAAACGTCACCCACTCACGTCATTTTGTTGTTGTTGTTGTTAAAAAAAGAGTGTTATTATTTACAGCACCCTCCCTCCCCATTCAAGAACTAGTTGAAGCGTTATGCCTTGTAGGACTAAGCTGACGGCTGATTTCTGCGCCTGATTTCTGAGACATACTTTAGATGCATTGTGTTTCATAAATTGTTCTAGTTTAAATTTGTTTGTCTTGGTAAGAATACTCATCTATGTGTTCAAAATGAATATGTACATTGAATTTTGTGTGTGCTAAAAATCCCTTTAATTTTGATCAATAAAAAAATCTTTTCTTTTCTTTAATATTAAATATTAATTTGTTTTAAGACCCAAAATATGTAGTAGACATGGGCACCCGCAGGTAGGGGCAAGGTGGGGCACTTGCCCCCCCCCCCCGGGTTGATTGGGTACATTTTTTTTGGACCAAAATAGACACAAAATGTATTAAAGTAAAGAGAAAATAAAGAGAAAGTAACTAAGCTGATGTCCTGTCCGTTCGTTCACCATACAAATACGCTACAGTAAATTAAAACTATATTAAAACATTACTAAAAAA